TTCTGCAGTCAAGCAAGCTATAGCTTTTTCAGACCTGCTAGAAAGAAAGGAAATGTAGAATTAAGAGGATTTTTCAGGATTGCTTTTTTTGTCATTTGTGAGTCATCTCTGCAGAGCCATGTGTGAGGTAATACAGTCCTACTTGACCATGTAGCTTTCAGCTGCAGTGTTCAGCTTTTTGTTGTTGAGAATTGTCAGAGATGTTTTTAAAAAGCCTTGGTTCTTGGTAGTCTCATAAAGGGCATTCCAGGGATATACTGTATGCAAGCGTTGTTGTAGAAATACAGTAGATGGCTATCTTAAAAATAGTTTAAAAGAGAAAGAAATGCCGTTCTTGTGACGCTCAGAGGAAAGTGTGGTCTGCAGTGCTGCTTTCTCAGAAACTGACCTTACTTTTAAGGTCTCCAGCACTACACAGTACTGTCAGGAAAATGTATGTTTGTTGGTCTTACAAGTGGTAAATTCTGATGTGTCATGGTTCTAGGAAAACATGCTTCCTTTAAAGCTGCAGAAATGTTTTATCTTCATATTAGCCTCCTTTTTTAATGACTGGACAACAAACATTGTGTGCTGTTTGGAACAAATAAGAAAAAATGTGCTGGTCACTCACTTGCCCTCGCTTAACTAATGTTCTTTAATATATTTCTTCTTTCATGAGAATGTCACAGATGAGAAGAGGCTGCTCAACCCAACTAGCTGCTTGTCGGTGGTTCATCCAAGGATCTTGAACAGTAACCAGAGTCTCAGTTTCCATAATGTATCTTTATAGCCAATTCCAAACTTTTTATTTATCACTTTCACCTCCTGTTCTCAATCTCAAAGCAGATTTCTGCTTTGTTTCCATTTGTGCCCTCTGGTTCATCTTTCATTAGGTTATCAGTGTCGGGTCTCTTGATCACTCTGAACATTTGAATCAAATCCCCTGGTAGGCTTCTCTGTTTAAGACTAAGCATATTGATGACTGCTGAACAGAGGCCTTTGGCTCCACCAGACATCCCAAGCTGTCAGTGCAGAACATTAATTAAAGCCCAACAGTTATTCTTGGGGAAAAAAGTGAAGGATAAAAGAGAGAAGTTAGACCCTTTCTTGTTTGATCCTCTTGGCAGCCACCTGGAAAAATCACAATATCTCAGGAGCCTCAAAGAAGAAATAAATTAGTTGTCAGGAGTCCTGTTTGGGAAAGCATTTCCAAATTCCAAGGACACTAACTAACTTCTCATGCCCATGTGGCCCTCAGTACCCACCACCCACCTTGAGCTCTGCCCCTGTGGCTCAGTCAGAAATAATATGAGGGTGTACTGTATGTAGAGCCTACACATGAGGCAGCAGAAGAGCAGCCTGCTTTGAAAAACAGATCTGGAGTGCCACTCAGAAATAATGACTGGGGGACAGTGATCTCTGTAAGGCATCATTGTGTCACAAATCATCACACATGCATTCTGCTAATATAAACAGTCATAACTATCTGATCTGCTTTCTAAATTTAAATCCCCACGATTTCTTTCAGTAAACATTTCACTTTCACTCTGCTGTGTGGCTTCTAGATTGGGGAGCAATCTTCCAAATGATATGGGGGGACAGTGACACTGTTAGACCTGTCTGATCTCTTTCTGAAGTTGTGCATTTGCTTGTATTATTTCAATGTGCTGTGAGCGGCTACCATGAGGAATGCTACATAAAATAGAGATTATTATTGTTAATATGAATTTAAAAAACTACTTTCATATGCTTCTTTTTACTGGTCGATATGTTTCTACCTTTATTTGTCTGAGCTATTCCTGGTCTTGTGAAGCAGTTTGGGATGCTTTTTATATAAAAAGACACAATATAAAATAACAGTTAATACTTTTAAGTATTCTGGTCCACTGAGTCGGAGAACTGAACTGTGCGAAATTGTTGAAGGCAGTAGTGGGTTGTTAGGTGAGACTCCTTGGCTTACAGAGCACTGTGTTTTAATTTGACAGCCCCAGTATATCCAAAAACAAATGTTTTTAGACTTTCAAGGCCTCGTTCTGCTAACCCATGAAGTGATAAAGCAAAAAAAGTTATGCAGCACCTTGGGGTGGTCTCCTCAGAAGGAAATCTAAAAACTCTATAAATCAAAGACCATTAAAACTATATTTCCGCCCTCCCCAAGAAAAAAAACACCGGGAAAGTCCCGTTTTCCCATGCTCCTCCTGCAGCTGCAGAGAAAAATAAACAGCCTTCTGTGTAACTGTCTGTATCAGGCCCTTCATGGTCTGCCAGGGCCAGCGTCACGTGTGTGCGCTCTTTCATTTTCTCAAACCTGTATTTTTGGTCCGTCAGGGTGGCCTGTTCTGCTAGCTCAGGACCATCTGGTCCCAGCTTTTTTTGTTTTTCTTTTCCACGGGCCGGCCCCCGTTGTGCCCGACTTGGGGAGAGAGGTCTGGAGGCAGAGAGGGAAGAGAAAAGCTGCAATCGCAGGCCATGTTAGGATGCTCAGGGGGTATTTATAGAGATGCTGCACGACTGCTGCTGACTCACTGCAGAAATGGCTGAACTGTCACTGTTCCTGAGCTCACATTGTTACTGAAATACGCCCTAGAGAATGAAGCCTTATTCATTATTCGTTATATTATTGGTCATTGTGACGCAGTGGTTAACATTACTGCCGTGGAGTGCTGGAGTCCTGGGTTCAATTCCAGACCTAGGATGCTGTCTGTGTGGAGTTTGTGTTCTCCCTGTGCTTGTGTGTGGGTTTCCTCCAAGTGGCCCACAGTCCAAAGACATACTGGTAGGTTAATTGGCTCCTGGGAAAACGGACCATGGTATAGGTGTGTCTGTCTGCCCTGCAATGGACTGGGCACCTACCCAGGGTGTGCCCTCTGCTTGCTGGAAAAAGGTTCTGGCTCCGCTGTGACCCCGAATTGGGAGAACTGGTTAGAAAATGGATAATTGCATTTTTATCCAAAGCCGATTTATACAGCTGGGCATTTCCCTGAAGCAGTCTGAGTGGTACCTTACCGAGGGCACAACTGCAGGGCTCCTCCTGGGTCTTGAACCCACACCTTTCCAGTTAGACGTCTAGAGCCCTGAGCACTACCTCTACAGTCCTTCTTCACACCGCTGCTGTTAGAAAGCCAATTAAAGAATAATTAACTCAGAAGGAGGGTGTAATCTGTTCATTGTTCTTTTTCTCTAAGCTATTGCATTCGACATCTTCACTGGTTCTTCCCATTGTAAAAATTAATTGTACAGAGGATTGTACAAAGCATTGCTTTGTGTGGTTTGGACCTTCTCTGTTTTTAACTCCTCATTTCTTCTTAGGTCTTCTACTGAGGTCATTTCAATTCGACCTGAATTAGTTTGGCCATGCCACTTCAGGTTTTTTTAAAGGATTGATCTGTGGACACTAACCTGTCCTTTCCACGCTGGCATTGCATCGTCCTCAAATTGGTCTTGCTTTCTAACTTGGTCATTTCTTGGTCACACTGAACAAGTGTTTGGCACTCTGCTTTCGTGGCTCCTGTCAGCGTTGACTGTGGCGAAGGGGAGCTGTGTGCATTATTCTCCAGAAACACCTCCCTCCTTAGACTCAGGTGACCTACAGTAGCTAGACGAGCTCTGTCTCCAGCAGGGCTGTGATAAGACCATTAGAGCCCAGGACATTGCCATCACAGCACGCTGGCAGATAAGGGGATTAGAACTTAAAAGCCAGTCAAAAAATCTCTCTGTGCTCGAGGAAAGAGAGGCAGAAATGACTGATAATGGCCGTGCAGGGAAATAGCCCAGAGCTATGATGTGGTGTGGCATGACACCTTGTCTGAGTCTGTTCTGTTGTCAGTTTCAAATTGGCTACATTGTCAGTGTCTTTACTTGAGTTTTATTGTATTTTAAATGAAGGCAAAACTCCTCTTACCTTTAGAGTTCTTGATGAAGGGTCTGAAAGTTATGGTAGAAACGTTGTTGTTTTTTCTCTTCAGTGAACAGAGCAGGTGTACCCAACAACTCAAAATAGGGGCTGTGAAGGTACCCTTAGTTTACTCTGAGCAAACCCAAATGCAGTATTGTAGCATCCACTTGATAAGACGACAACGGCCCTGGAACATCTTAAAACTTGTGTCCTGTGCTGTTACTTCCTCTCCCCGTGTTGTCACTGCCACCTGATCTGTCAGTCTGAGGCTCGACTGCAGTTTCCATAAACACCAAAATGTATGTTTCTTTTACACTGGTGCGCAGTCTTGTTGCAAGACTGGGTATATACTTGATCAATAAGTAAAAACACCCTGGTCCACTTAACATCCATTTCCTTCCTAAATTCCCTCTCAAACATGTCAAAACTTTGCAAAGATCATTTAAATTGCAAATCAGGTTAGCTCTTTTACTTAATAATGAACAGTGCGTAGCAGCCTATGGGCTAGATTTATCACAGTGATTAAAATACAAGCCCCTGCAGCATATGATTTCAGGAACAGCGAGTCTGCTGTGCCACAAACTGGCCTGCTGGAGGCTCATGGGCTGCCCGTCTGTCATGCCTGATCAAAGCTGTGCGAATTTTCCATTTGTGTCATCAAAATCTGCCTTTTTGTCTGATCCAGGGCGTACCCTGCCTTGCTCCAGTTGCTTGCCATTTATAGGCGCTGGCTCCTCCACAACCCTGTTCTGGACACAGCGCTTAGAATTCCACTGATGGAAAGCTGCCCTTTAGGAATCTTATCAAAGACTGGAGTGGATTTGAAGTATCCAGGTACCCTTAGAATCACGCAGACCTATTTAATGTTTAAGCCAAAAGGGAAGAAAAAAAATCAAATGGATAGCGCAGTTAGAAATCATTTTGGGATTCTAAAAAATAGCCATCCAAGTTTTATTGTCCTCTTTTTATGCAGATTTCATTGTGAAAGGCCAAATATTTTGTTTGTTTGTAATGTGTAATGTTGGTGAATTTTCAATAACATTGAAAATGTGCTTTTTTTATTTGATTATAATAGATATAGGGCCCAAATTACAATCAATGCACACAGTAACAAGCTTGGTGATGCTCTCTGAGTGCTCTTTTTTATTTTACATATATGAAGGCTACATTTCAGCCTTAACTTTGCCTGTCACTTACAGTACATCCTGGAACATGCAGTGCATTTCTTTGGCTGTTCTCTTTGGCTTACTGATGACAAATCCTCCTTCATATGCTTACGGCACCCACGTCTGTCGGATTTCCTGCAGCTCTTGATCGAGCAGGTCTTCAGAGGCGAGGCGACAACGGGCTGGGAGAACGGCTGCTCATAGCACCCAGGAAGCCGAAATCAGCTCCAGAGCACAGCGTTCGACAGACAGGAAACAGGGCTGCCGATGAGCTTTCTGTCCTTAGCAAGGGATCTTTAGCACAGGAGGCCATTATTTGCAAAATTATTGTGCATTTGTACACCACCAGAACTACAGGAATCTCCAAAGCACAGAGGAATGGTTTGCCTTCAGGAATTCTACACTTACTGGTACCATGTTATATATGGTTGCATGCACCATGCTTGGAAAATGTATTTCACTGAAACAGTCTAAAAATGTATGCATTTTTATAAATGCATTTGTAAAAATAATGTTTTTTTTTTCAAAATGTTTATCAGTATAATAATAACATATAGATTTATACAGATACATCTCAATTCTCTGTACAAAACATTTGGTGTGGTACTGTAACTGAAAATGTTGATCGCATCTTTACACTCAACCCATTATGATATTCACAATTAACCATCCAGAGCAAGGACATGTTATTGATAAATTGTTCCAAGTGAGAATTTTTGACACCTTGTGAGACTAAACAGGATTTGATGCTAACTTTACAGCTCTGTCTTCCTTATGGTTCAGAATTTAAATCGATGTGTGCACATCTGGAAGCCTGCATTGAGTTCAGAGAAATAACAGGTGCTCAGAGGAGTTTAATAGTTATGGAACATGTACATCACTGCAGGATGCTCATCACTCAGCTTGTTTCTAATGTGAATAATAAAGTAATATCTTAGTGGAACATACTGTACACTGCACATCTCCCTGTTGAGTTCGGCGGGATTTGCAGGGATTTTCCCTAACCCTTGTCTTTTTTTCTCTTCAGCAAAATCTTTTGCATTTGCCGGCAAAGAGCAGAGTGAAATCCGACCAGTCAAGAGACCCTTAAAGCCTGTGTTTTACAGCAGGCCTTGAGAGAGGGAGAGAGAGAGAGAGAGAGAAAGAGATGGAAGTGAGCTGTAAGGTTATATGGTTATATTCCCTTTCTGTTCATGAGAATCATTTTGCATCTCAAAAAAATTACTTTTTTTCTTTTATTGGAACAGCCACGCGAAGTATGAGTAATGTGCTGCAGTGTGTTTGATACACTTGCCCCTGCAGCTTCATGTACAGTCCTCCCCAGGAGTGACATTAGCCAATACAACTGTGTGGTCCATGCTGCATTCCTTTATTGGACAGATCCAGACCACAATGCAATTCAGCTTCAGTCTGAACCACATTTTCTCTCTTCTAATTTCGCAAACAGCTTTTGTCAGATCCCTGGACGTAGGTCCAAACACAGGATTATTCTACTCAGCACATGATATAACTATGAAAGCAATGGTGATTAACATGGTCTGCTAGTAGGAACTCACTTAAAGAGATCTAAGAGCTTTGCAGCAGAGGTGCTGTGATTGATGATTACCATGCGATTTTTTTATTTCAGTGAGAATATTCAGAGGAACTTTACAGATGAGGAATATCCTGGCACTGCTGTTAGACACATCGCAAAGTAGGCCGAATGGGTCCCTTGTGTGCCCATTGATAATTAACTTTCTCACAACTTCCCAACTTCGAAAGCAGCATCCTCCCACCAGACTCTCCACAGACACTTACTCGTGTCTTATCTCTCACGGAAAGCAATCCCAGGAATTCATCGTCATCAAGAGTCGTATCACGACTGCTTAAATATGCAAGCAGCACCGACAGGATTGGAAAAATATGATTGTAAATAACAAAGTTTTGTCTTCGGCCAAAGTCCCATACAATTCAAGTCATTCCAATATCCATTACTTAAGAGACTACATTCCCAGTTAATCATGTACGGTACTTTGCAATAAAAGGGAAAATGCTCCAATATCAGCCAAGGTCATAAAGGGTCATTTATGTCTTAATGCACATGGTTTCTTGGTACACTCATCTCTAACAATCCAGCTCACTCTTTTTCCACCATACTAATTTGATATGGCTGACACTTTCATCTAAAGCGACTGACATTTGCACCTATTTATACATCTGGGGGCTTCAATGGAAGAATTTGGGTGAGCTTTCTTGCTCAAGGGTACAACAGCAGAGTTTCGTCAAACCTGTGTGAATGTGAGCTCATGCCCCCAAATCGCTACTGCAACCAACTGCATCTCCAAGCTGTCTAAAACATCCACTGGGGCTGTCCGTACGCGATGTGGGCGATTATCAGTACCCCCTGCCTCTAATTAATTGGTGTTAAGTCCTGACTGAAGTCCTGGAGCTCTGTCATGGGGTTTTCTCCTGAGTCTCTGCTTGTCTTGCTGTGCTCCATTCCGATTTGCTTCTGCCTTGCTTTGCTTGTGTCTCCTCGAGCTTGCTCTGGACCGTCCTCTTGCTTCGTCTCCTGACCAGGATCCTGGATCCTCCTCCCTGGCCTGTTCACTGTGGGGACCACAAGGCTACGTACCCTCCCCGGTCTGACTCCGTGTTTTGCACACTCCTTCGGATTCTCCCTTGTGTTTTCCCACTTCCTCTCTCCCTTATCCTTTTACCTCGGCTCGCCGTGCACCAGCCTGTGTGTGGACTTCAGCTCCTGCCTTGGAATCACCGCAGTCTCCCTGTGTGCCGAGTCATCATAGGTTTCTCCTGGGATTTGAACCCACAAACTTCCAGTTCTGAACCCTGTGCTGTTCTTCTTCAGGAGAAGTGGCCTTCTGGGATATGTTATGAAAATGGTATCGGAAGCATGAAGTATCTGTACACAGATAGCTGATCAAACAATTAGGATTTTCTACCTCACTCATTTTGATATTCCTAAAACGTATATTTTCATTATCTCTGTCCATAACAAGTTTTCATCTTTCCCCTTATCACCACTCTAATCTCCCCCAGACTGTCACATCAGGTACAGATTGATATCTTCCTTTAACAAGGATTACAATGGAGAATTTTGCAAGGTGTTCTTGTATCAAAAACTAGGTCAATTGTGTACCAATGTGACAGCATGTGGCAGATGTGTGCGTGCCCCTGTTTGGCTTGAGTTTCGATCCTGTCCCAGACTGGCTTCTTTCTAGCCTTTCAGATTTACTGTCAATCTCTTTCTGTGGGGATGTGAACTAACGTTGGACCACTTATCATTCAAGACCAGTTGCTATTGGTGCCCACTAACATTTCTCTGCCTATATGCAGGCCAGATTCCCTGACTTTTGCAATCACGTCTAATTTTGATCAGCTGGAAGCACGCTGCCCTGGCTTCACTGATGCGGTGGGTTAGGGATGTAGTTCAACTCCTGACTTGAAAAAACTAGTTTGCAACTCATGGGTCAATTCTTTTCATTCAACATAGCATTTTTTAAATCATCTACAGCTCTTTGGACCCTTAATAGATTCCTGCCAATCTTTTGCCCAAATCTTAGCTTGCTCTACACTTCTGTTGTTCTGGTCTAGCGACCCTGTTCTGTTGTTGTTGCCTTAGTTCTTTTTTCTCATGTTCTCCAATCTCATACCTTGATACAGTATATGGCAGTGAGCCTCTGGTATTTCCCATGTCCAGTAATAGTGCTGCACTGCTGATTGCTGTCTGAATGTTTGTCTTTTTAATGATAGGAAAATCTACAAATACATTTTAAAGAGAAACTATAGCATATATTTTTTCTCAGCCAGTCGAAATGTTTTAGTGTAAGGAAGGATATTATGACTGAATTTTATTGAGCTGTGATTGAGAGTGCACTTACATTCTCTGTAGCAGCATAGTCTGGGAATACATCATAAAGTGATAAATATGGCCATGTTAAAACTGTCAAGTCAGCATTTAAAATCGCAGGCTCGCTCTCCTATATTCTTCCACACTAGAGAGTGAGCACTCTCTTAGAAAGGCCAGGCCTATTGCTGTTAATCAACCAACTTATCAACTGTTTCAGCTCTAACCATCTGCCAGGCATTATAAATCAATAAAAAATTAGCAGAAACATGTCGTTTAGCCTTCTGTCATACGGATTTTGTCCTGTTTGGTTGTAAAATGTTTGCAGTGTGTGGTGCAATGTAAAGCGTGTGTATGAATGAATGACTGATAATTCCTGGTGCATTCTATGGCACCTGATAAGTCAAGCATTTACCATTTGCTCTTCACTGTCTGTGCTTCAGCACATTTATGGCTGGTAGCAAGCATTTTAAGATGGGTCAAAAGCAACCCCAACATGTGCTTGGTAGTAGTGGATGTTTTCCAATGGTGGTCAAAAAGAAATAGAGATGTAGAGACTCACGTGTAGAAGTGATGTGCTGCCAGGGTCTGGTGTGGGTTACAAGTCTAGCTGTAAGGTGTTGGACACATTGGAATTGACTGAGGAGAGTGTGAGGGAGCCCATAGAGTAAAGAGCTGCAGAAATCAACCCTTGGTCTTATAGATGAATCACTCACTCAGTATTGAATATTGACAGAAAGTGCACTAATGCGGGTCATCTTTACAAGGTGAAAAAAGAGGTCTGAATCACATTTTTCACAGGGGGCTAAAAAGACGCTGGGATGCTGTTAACACGCTGACAGACTAGTCCTCCAGCATGACACATTTCCTATACAAGAAATTGCATAATTGTATATGCTGTGCAGAACATTAATTTTATGCAAATTAAGAAGCATGTCTTAAATGGCATGGCATTTGTCAGACGCATCAATGCATCAATGGCAAGTGTTCATTACTTCTTCTCTGTGAGCACAGCTGAAGATATTAAAACACAGTATCAGTTCTGAATGAAAAAATCAGTATTGCATTTATATGTACAGAAGCATCCCATATGTACTGTATGTGTATAAACTAGAGATATAATCATCACAAAGGGGAAAAGGCCAGCCTGAAGTCAGTAGGTAAAGCTTTAAAATACTGTGCAAGTCTTTCATTAGGGCTCTCTCTCAGTCAAAACTCTTTATTCTTTAATTCCTGGCATCTGATGTTTTGCTGAGCTTGTAACGACTAACCAAGCTGTGTATCTGTGCGGCTGATATTATCTTGTATTTCTTCGTGACTCGTTTAATTCAGTACTTAAAGGTCATGGAGACATTTTTTCAAGACGGTTTTCCTTTAAAAAACATTATTAATGTCTGAAGCATTCCATGAGATTTAAGCTGTAGCTGGTAATCAAAGCCAGTGACATAACGCGAGCATTATTGAACAGAAAACAAATCTGGCCCAAGTACAGCTCTGAGACACATAAGGGAAAAAAAGAACACAAAGTATTAAAAAAAATGTCTGATATTTTAAGAAAGATATTGGCATTTTCAAATTTGCAAGCAATTTACATAAAACCTAAGTCATTAATGTTTAAGCATTCATCCCAGGAGTCTTTCTTTATCTGGATTAGTTGAAGGAAAGATTAGCTGTTGGGTCTCTCTCCGATTCTTTCTTTAAATTCAAAGCACAAATCTCCAAATGTTAACAAAACCTGCATGTACAGAGAACTCTAAAATTGGGGTAAATTTGGCCCATTCATCCAGTTTTTAAATGAGCTTCAGTCTCTCTACCACCATGTGTGGTGTTAAATACATGTCTATAATTTGCCTGGAAAGATTGGTAGGGGAAAAACAATTCTCAAAAGCTCTCATGCAATCTCTACATTCCCATACAAAATTGATATCATTATGTAAGATGCACACTGCAGAGAGCCTACAGTACATAGTTTGGAGGGGGAAGCGGATAAGGCCTGAGTTATAAAACTGGTTTTAAGGGGAAAAGAAGCCTGTTGCAGGGTTTAATTATGCTGTTTGATCATCCTTTTCCCTGTGCAAGCTCTGACTTGACAAGTGAATCTGGCCAAAAGTATAGGAAATCTATAGCAAGTAATCCCTGTCAGTGCATGGGGAAAATTCCATGACTTGTCTCAGACTAAGACCAGTGTAGCTGCTGTCCCTGCAGAAGAGTCACATGCAGAGCATCCAAAAGACATCCTTCTGAACGACGGACCTCTGCACACCTCAATATTGTATCCATGACAGTTCCCTTACTCCAAAGGTTCAGAGGCACATTAAAGCCCTCAAATGCTTATGAGCTGATATCAAATTAATTTACTGACTGCTCTCGTGCAAAACCCTTGAGGCCTTCGCTTACTGGAGCCCCACATGTCTCTTGTAGCAGTGTTGTGTGGCTTCACAACAAACCGCATGTACTACATTCACCCCATTATGTGCAGATCTTTCGGACTGATTGTCCAGATCCTATTAATTCATGCAATGCATCTGTAAAATAAGAAGCTGAATGCCCAGCCTTGATGGTGACCCTGGAGAAAACAGGCAAGTTACAGCAGTAATTGGAAAAAGTGATTGGATTTGAAGTGACAGAGTGCTCAGATTTCCTACTTCATGCAAGAGTAAAGGGTTGGCTGACGCTTGAACGCTGTTTTCCAATTGGCAGTAGGGTAAACAGTGTCAGGGCTTTTTTGGTGTACCCTACTCATAATCCAACTTTCCGAAGAATGCACCACTGTTTGGTAAAAGCATGTGATAACCCTATGATCTTCAGCAAGTTCATGAAAAGTGCAGTTTAAGATGGTGACAAAGTGCTGTGAACTGAGAAACTATTTTGTGAGTAATTTACTCTGATTTGAAGTGACTCAGTCCATAAAAAAACAGCCCTCCTCTCAAATACCAACTCAAAGCCTCATCAGAATAACAGAAGTTCTACAGACTCCCTGAAACCGTTATTTTCTACTATATAAAGCAACAGCTCTTAAGTTGAAGAGCCTTTAGGAAGATGTATAATATTGCAGGATGTGAATGAATTTGTATTTATCTCACTTGAGCTGTAAGTGCAAAAAAAGGCTTCAATTAAAGCTCACTACAATCTTACTCAGGTGAGGCTGCATTAAATTATCAGCTTTGGGCGACTTTCCAGCACCTTTCCAAAACAACACTTCCGTTATTTCAGGAGAAACATGTGTTATCAAAGTTTGCTGAATGAGTAGAGCTTCCCATGTGACTCAACAAGTGATGGCGTTTGTTCTGAGCACAGGCTGCGGTCCAGGTTTAGACATCGTGTAAGATCCAGAGACTGGGCCATGACTGTGGCTGTCACTTCCCAGAGCCAGAGCACGACTGACAGAGCAATGCCAGGGGCATGCTGGGATCAGACAGCCAGGGCTCATTTGGCCTTTGTAACATTGTGAGTTTTTTCTGTATCCTCTCTGCCTCTCTGCACCCATCTCTGCCTTTTATCTCTCGTGTGGACTCAGAGTAATGACACACTGCAGGTCCCTAAATTGCTTATATGAATCATAACAGTCGCTTACGAACAGCAATAAAACCCAGCATTAATAATAACCTATCGATCATTGGGAGGAAACCAGAGCACTCACAGGACAGAGCAACCCACGTGAACAATAATTATTGTTGTTATTAATATTATTATTATTAGTAGTAGTAGTAGTAGTAGTAGCGTTATTATTATTATGGAAGTAGTGAGGTTGTGGTGCAATACTTATATATGCTGGCAAGTGGAAGTGTGTGAAATTAGGAGCTAACCTTCCACCCAAACGTCGGTTGTAAACTCCATTAATTTCAAGCTTATGTATTCATATTCTTCAGGAATAAAACAGTGTTGTTCTTTGAAACAAGCCTTGTTAATGTGCTAATCCCGCACACAAAGAGCTCTGCCAAACCCGGGTTTGAGCCTGGGTCATGCCGTAACCAAACGTGATAGGGAGCCTTTAACAAAGAAATCCGCACACCTCCAGAATTTATTTGTCTGTTTTTTTAATCTTATTTTTCAGAAGATAGAGTTTCTCTTTAACTCTTTAGAAACCCTTCAATACATTTAAAATTGTCAACATTTAACAGACTTTCTGGATAGTATCAGTGGAAAATATTGAGAAGTTCAACTCGGTAGCACTACGGATTGAAATCACACAAAGTCCTGAAAATAATATCTGAAGCTATATTTAAGATGTGAGGATGTCAGCTCTCTCCTGTAACATCCTCAGAATCGTCATTCCACACCTGCAACCCATCAACTCTGTCAAGCACAGCATTCAAGCCGCCTCTCTATAAATACATTGCTGTAAAAACAGCTTGAAAACAATTATAACCAGCTTTTAGCTTTTTTTTTTTTAGCTATTACCCTCCATTTTACTACGAAGAATGTTCTCACTGGTTAAATGGCCACAAAAAGGAGTCTTAGCAGTGTTTTCGGGGCTGGTGGGGGTATAGGGAAATAGAGTTGGCTCCTTACTTTCACAGAAGATCTGTCCGAATGCACCCTGTAACCTTCCTGGAGCTGAGAACTGTTTGTAGGCTTCAGGAATGTCTGTTATTCCTGTGCATGTGTGCTTATTCAGAAAAAAAAACAAAATGGTATGAAAAAGACAAGAAAATTAACATCTTTTTAGATACCTTTCAAACGCATTCAGCTTGAGTGAAGTATTAGCTGCATGTCACCTAGAGGGGTGGCAGCCCTGGAACTTGGAGGCCAGAGGGAGCGAGATTATTCATCTCACGGTGACCAATCGCTTTGCTTGTTTGAGCAAGTTAAAACGGAGAGATCAAGCGGTCAATAGCCACTGCAGGCGCGACGCAAAATGTCCACACCCACGGGGTCCGCCACTCACAGATTCCACCCAGCCATACTCCATCTGTGCTGGACAGAGGCCCTCGGGGCTGTTTTTTTACAGGCTGTAAGAATCGCAGAAGCATCTTGTAAAACATGAATTAAATGAGCAGCGATCACGAGAGATGGCGTACCCGCCTGGAAGGAACAATAAAACTTAAGAGGGTAGGAGGAAAAAAAAACAACAACTTGGACTTCTAACGATCCCTGCTGGGGATAAAAACGACATGGGAAATTTCGCTGTGTCTCTTCCTTCAAGGGCTAAAATTGAAAGAAAGTGCTGCGGTTTGATATTCAAAGCTGGCCCAAGGCTTTCTGTAAGGGGGTGCATTGGAAGAAAAGGCAACAAATTGCCTGGAAGACCTGGCAGGCAGTAGTATTATTATTTTATGCCCCCCAGGGAGGCTGTGGGTCGACTGTCACTTAGCTACTACACAAAAGATTTCAGAGACAGATTGGAAAATAATACAAGCTATTTACCTATGACGCACTGCCTGTCTCAATAATATATTCTGCACAGGTAAGGGTGCTTACGCAGTTGACATATTGGAGTTCATTAGAGCGCTAAAGTGTTTGTCTCAGAAACAATAAGTTTTAACAATACCTAGTATTTGCATGTCATGAAAGAAAGACTGAATGCAGCAAGTAGCCAAGCTCTGCTCATGAAGAGGTGGCACTGGCTTAGTAAAATAATGAATATGCAACGTGTAACAAAGCCCACAGATTTCCTCGATAAACTTTCAAATGAAGCAGTAGGTCGTCCTCATACACCACAATGTGGGCATAAGTATAGAGGGAGAAATTATTTTGTGTAGGCACACACTCATTATGCTTACTTTTATTACAGCTTCAAAGAGTACTGCAGGCTGCCTACAGTACATGACAGATTACACCAGGAATGATCACTGTGCTGATCCAACTGGGACAGGAGAGATCTGGTCCAGGTCTCTATGGTCGCAGGAAACACCTTCATTCCAGTGACCTTTACGGCATTTACAGCTGAAAAATTGTCTTAGTCCATATTACACAGATAAGTAGAGACTAAGTAGAAAAAAAGGACCGATCCAGGAAGTTTCTGGGTCTATAAATAAAGGTCCCCCTGAGTACGTAGGTATTTCTAAACTAATGACGCAACAGGCTTTCTCAAAACCCCTTTGAGCTCTGTTACCTTTATTAGAATTGTTTAAAAGCTTTCAGCTTAACAGACTGGAAGAGAGCAGAATTTTGCCACTCTAAAAGTACTATATAATATAAAACCACTACTGTGGCTCTCCAGTGCAACAGTTAAACACCCTTCTGGATTACAGCAGCATTTAGCCTCTCTTCAGACAGCTCCTCTAAGCACTTGTATGGTATTCAGACTAGTGGCAACATTGTTCTTCTGATTAGTAGGCGTATGGTTACTCACAGCAGATGCTCGGTCGTACAATCTGAAACAAAACTGCAGGAAACTTAACTGGACATGTTTTTAAGCTTCTGTCTTCCCAGTGAGAGGTCTCCACAGGGTATATCGTGAGAGCTACATTCATTCATCAAGGATGAAATGTTTACTTGTGAAACACCACAGGGTGGGAAGGATGTGATGGAGGACTGTAGGAATCTTTTCAAAAAATAACTATTAGAAAAGAATGTTCATTGTGTTAAAATTAAGGACCCTATTCGTTCAGATAACAATGAACGTCAGCAAGGTTACAAATTAGGGGAGTTTGTTTAGTCCTTCTGGTTAGTTTTGGTTGCTGGTACCTTACTGGCCCAAGGATCTCATCCAGCCATTTCATGAAGTCAGTGTAGCCTACTACTAAAGGAACTGCATTAATTATCACTCAGAGAAAATAACAAAGAGCTGATTGTCATAAAATGTGAGGGGTGTGTTTAAAGGTCAAAGTTTTAAAAGGTAAGGCTGCTATGTATTTAATTACTAGATCAGTTCATTCCCTAGGCAGCCCCATTAGTTTTAAAAACAATGGAGGGACATCTTGCAAGATAAACAATAATTATAAAACAACACTGGATGCAAACCATGTTTAACAGTGTCATCCCACAGTTTAATGCTTGGGTCTGAACAGCTGAACACAGCAGGAAAATTCTGACTGTGGTTATTAATCTGATTGAGATATTGCTTCGAATACAATTAAAACACATTGCATTGTCACATGTAGTTTCCAAACAGACTGAAAGAAAAGAATTACATTTTTTCTATTGTAAACAAGGGGATCTTCCCCGGCAATGAGAAACACAGAACACTGGTAAATCCCCTGCACATAAACACTATCTGGCACCACATCCCTCTCTATTTCCTTGTTTTCATGCTCGCTATTTTTTTTTTTGCTTCAACCATACTACAGCCAATGCAATTCTCAATCTGGGTCAACAATTCCCAGTGAATCCTGACAGATTATCTAAGGGATTGTACACCTCCATGTGGATGTACTGTAGCTAACAAGCAGGTATTGCAAAAGACAAGAAATCTATACAAGGTTAAAAATCTAAATGACAGTGAAGAATTGTTACCACAGTAAACATTGCCTTGTTTTTCTGATCCACATGTACAGACTTCGGTATAGCCCTTGATAGAGGGGAAATGTTTGTCACCTCACTATTTTGTTTCTCACTATCTTTTACTGACCTGCGATTTTCTTAAAGTATCTGAACTTTGCATAGCTGTCAATGCACAGCTGTCATCTCTTTGGGCACTGGGTACCTAGTCTTGATGCTGAAGTTGACTCACAGTGTACCAGTGTCCTCCCATTCACATGTAATACTGCCTGTATACTGTGTTTGCAGTCTTACATTTTGGTAAGTCCATTTTGGAAGAATACTTAACACACTCTTTCACAATAGGTCACTGGAATCTGCATCGATACTCATATTCACACTTGAAGCCCCATCATTGCTTAGGCCACTTGTTTCAAAACTGTGTGCAAGCAACGTTTTCCATCTGCACATGAAGAGAACTTCAGTGGAGTCCCCACAACACCTATAGTGTCTCTTGGTCCTGGGCCTCCGGGGTGGCCACTGAGAAGTGGTTTCTTTATTAAATGTATCGCCATTTGGGCAGCATTATGTTTTCAGAACTGTACATCCACAAAAAGAGATGCTCTACCCCAGAGACGAATGGGACAGGGAGTGTTTTGGTATATGGGTTTGACTTCCCTGGACACATAAACTTCAACCACAGAGTGTCAGAGCCCATCAGTGAGGTCAACAGCAGACCTACAGGATCTTCACTGGAAGGGGCCTGAACAGTTTCTCTCCCACTGCGAATACTGCTGTTCCAGCTGGTCCAGCAGCTTGTCCACTGAGTCCTCCTTATTCTCCAGTTTCATGTACCTCCTGATGCTACTGAGGTCCACTCGTGGCCAGCTGCGGTTCTTCCTCTCCTCCATGGGCGCCCCAGTCTGCTCCCCTCCTCTCCCCAAATCCAAAGACCGGGAGTGGCTGGACAAGTTCAGGCAGACGTCAGAACTGAACTCCTTCGTGCACGGTTCAGGGAGGAAGACGGATCTATCTGCCCTGTCCGCAGGGCGCCCCTCTCTGGGGAGAGGATGCAGATTTGGGACAGCCCGACCTCCGGTTTGATCCCAACGGAGAGCCGTAGTCCTGCTGCTCAAGCTGTAAGAACGCCTTGGGGGAGCGTCTCTTCCACAGCTCCCACTGGAGGACAGGGAAGGCCCAGCGTCGATCAGGCAGTTGTTGAGCTTGATCAAGGGCAAAGAGAGTGCATTGGTGCTGGAGCTGACCCTGGGCTCCAGTGTCTGGCAGGAAAGCACATTAAAGTTCCCGTCGCTGGAGTTACAAGAATCCGAGTGGACGCTGTGCAGGGACAGGGAAGGCGAGGACTCCTTGTGGTGCAGCACTTTGGTCTGGAGAGTGTTGGGCTTGTAGCAGTCAGCCCACTTGCCCCGACCAGACTTCACCCGCAGGAGAAGAGACTCAGAGCCCGCCAGCTCCTCCAGGCAGCGGATGTTGAGATCAGTCGCACTGACGTTGGTCATCCACTGGTAGTGCCCCGTCAGCACGCTGCCCTGCTCCTCTGGGGTGCCGGACAAGGTGCAGATCATCTTCTGTGTCTCGGCCAGGAGCAGCTGAGTCTCCCGGTCTCTGTTCTCGTACAGCATGGTGTTGGCGCAGATGAAGATGAACAGCCCCACGCCCATGATGATGGGGCCCAGGAGCTTCATGCGGTCGCTGTGGATGAGGTTCTGGGAGGACAGGACTTTCTTTGACCCCCCAGCCCTCCCCCCGGGCAGGGAGTCATTCAGGCCCACCCCAGACTGGCTCAGCGCCGCTGCTGCCCGATGTGCCCTGTAGGGCCAGTACCCAGCCACTGCCAACGCCGTGCCCACCAGCACCACGAAGACGCCCAGAATCAGGAAAGCCCCCGAGGGGGACTTGATCCGCAGCTTCCCGCGGACGGCCCCTTCCTCCTTGCCTCGGAAGGCGAGCCGCAGCGGGCGCTGGCGGGAGGGGGGCGGCTGGGCCAGGCTCCAGGGCTCCTGGTTCCTCATGGCACGAGCAGCCCCAGAGCCCCCCGACGCCGTCATTCTTCAAGAGGAAGCTGTGGAGATGAAACGGGAGCCACTTCTTATTGCCCAAGCCACTCCCCCGACAAAACCAAACGCAGTAGGAAGGTCATGAAAACCAGTGGCCACGCTGCAGGACACATGAAGACACATGCCTGCTCAGCTCTCTGCTTACAACGTGTACCCCCTTACGAGCTTCAGGTCTGTCTGGACTAGAATTGCCCGGTATTCAATCTGGACAAAATCAGTTCTATCATCCTAATTACAGGCTAAAGCAACACTCACACATGACAAAAGTCTACAATTTTCCTTTCATGTTTGTACCAATGTTTTAAATGGGAGGAAATAATACCAACTAATGTGTAAACTATTGGC